AGATCAGCATGAATAATTTCGCAGCCAAGAAAGTCATCCGGCCGTGCTACACCGCTGACCCAACAACCACTATGCTCTGGCTCAAGTGCATCCGCATGTTTCAAGCCTGGGCTATTGGGTCCAAGGTTAGTTCATCGTTAAACTTTTAGGAGTATTTTTATTTTAAAAAATACACTATTTTTTATTATATTTATTTAAAAAATACAGTATTTTTATTTTTAAAAATACTGTATTTCAATTTTATTTCAATGGGAAAAGGGTGCTTTCATATCATGTTGAACAATCAAATGAGCTTTCCAAGTTTTTTTAAAGAGAAAAGGTTTGTTCTCAGAGTAAAAAGATATTTTCAAACTTTCTGACTGATGATGCATGTCAAAATACTGTAAATGATAAATGCATTATACAGTATTAAGACTCAAATACCATTTTGAGTTTCGCACTGCACAAGGGCACATGCATTAGGAAATAAATTGCAGCGGGATATCATTTTTTTTCAAAATTGTTTTTAGAGTGAACCCAGACAAAACTGATGTGTTATCAACTTCTGAGTACATTTTTCAAAAGCTTATGTTGACAAAATAAACATAACTTTTTCTGAATCAAACTTCCAAGTTAATCTTTTTCAGAGGGAAAATATATTTTGAAAGAATGAGATAATTGTTAAGTTTGAGTGAATTTAAGTATAATTATGCTACTTTTTTCATTTCAAAGAAGCTTTTCCTTAAATCCCTATGGTGAAGATTTATTGAAATTCATTAATTATAAACACACAAAATATGCCTTTCTAATCACTGATTGAAGAGCAATGTTTGTGCTATTGAATCATTCAGTGTTGGCAAGATCAACCTCTTTTAAAAAAACCAAACATTTTAATTCTAGGNTTTAAAAAAACCAAACATTTTAATTCTAGGCGAGGATTTCAATTTTGAAACAAATGAAAACTTAGGAAGCAGGGTTGGGTGGGATGATTTTTTTTAAGCCAGCAGTGTTATAAACCCCCCAAAAGGCCAAAACTAAACCCCAAAAAAGATTGAAGACATGTTGATTATTTTTAGAGTGATGTTTACATAGGTTGTCCAAAGCATGAAATCCAGTAATTTTAATTTGAAAAAAAAAATCAGTCTAAAGGTAGACAATTGTAAAAAAAAAACCAGTAGAAAAAGCATTTCATTATAACATTGATTCAAGTTAATAATTTTACAGTAACAAATGTATGGTACATAAATTGAACATTCACTGATGTACATGGTGCAAACCCTTATATATGCATTTTTGAATGTAGATTCAATGTCATGCCTGTCTCAATGATTCAATAGCACAAAATTTCTTTCAGGGATTCATGTACCCCAGAAACGTGGGTTACCCAATCCCATTGGCCAGTGAAGGGCCCAAGTTTTACCGCTTGGAGGTGCACTATGACAATGCTGAGAAAAAGGAGTTCAAGGACTCTTCAGGAATCTCCATGCTTTATTCAGATCGACCCAGACCAACCAATGCAGCCATTATGGAAATTGGTTTGACCTATGGGCCCCTGCAGGTAAAGGATGATTTACAGCAGTGCTCCCCACCATTTCTGGGCCTGCATAAACATGACTGGCAAATTGGCATACATTTTTTTTGTGGACTGGGGAATTGCCAACAATTTTTCTGCAGACTGGCAAAGTTTCATAAAATGTTTGCAGACTCCAAAAGTTTTGTTTGAAAGACTTTATGACAGGTCTTCAAAAAGTTTCTTTTTTAAAATCATTAATTCAAGAACCAATGAAGCAGTTATAGTGTAATGTCTTGAAGAAACTAGAAATGCGGGCTTATGGAAAAGTTTCTCAGAACAAAAAATTGGTATAGCTTATTTCATCTGGTGAAAATTTGTCTGAAGTTTTTTAGGAAGAAAAGTCAACTTTCATTTTTCAAGAAATAATTTCAACTGCCATTGCCTTTCCAAAAATTCCAATGAGAACAGACTTCATTGCTACTTTTGATAAATTTATTATGCTGAAGAAAATTTCTCTGAGACTGGCAAAAAATTCTGTGGAGCAGCGCTGTCCTGTGGACCAAAGGGTGGGAAACACTGATTTACAGTGTGGACCAGAACAGAGTTTGTCAAACTAAAAGCTGCATGCTGTGGTATTTCCTGAATGGCACTTTGAGGCTCTAGAAATGAATACTGTATTTAGTTAAGTACTAGGTCCCCTGGAATAAGATGTGCACCTTGATTTCTTTGTAAAATTTTGAAAAACTGTTATTGCAGGGTACACATCCATCTGAAGGGATAACTTTGATGTTCTACCATTTCAATGATGAAAGACTAAACTCTTGGTGGACAAACAAGAGTTCCTTCTTAGTGTAGTTTCTTTCTCATTTGAATGTTTGATATAAAGTTCCCTATACTGAAAAGGTTTAGTAAGATTACTGTTAATTGGTTGGGTAATGTAGGTACCTCTGCTGGTTCAGGTGAGCTAGTTTTTAGGTCACTTAATGTGTCCATTTGCAGTTTCTTCTTGAATTCAAGTTTTGTATTATGTTCAAATCAGAACATATCATGCATATACCGTATTTACTCAAGTACCACGCGCACCTTTTTTCCCAAATTTCAGAAGGAAAAAAGGGGTGCGTGTCATAAGCGTGTACAAAATTTTTGAGAAGTTTTAGGAAGTTATGTGTGCATTATACTTAATTATAATGGAGAAATTTGGAACAAATATAAGAATAAAACATTTTTGTACTGAAAAAGTTAAAAATTGATTAGATTTTTGTTCCAATTCATGCCTGAAGTCAAAATTTTTATTTTTATTTTTGAAATTTTATGGTTTTTAGATTTACTGAAAATTGGGGTGCGCGTCTTACTTGGGGATAAGATTTTTTCAAAATTTTCAACTGAAAAACCCCTGTGCCCGCCTTACTCAAGGGTGTGTGGTACTCAAGTAAATATGGTACTGTACCTTAGAATATATGCCTTTCCGAATACCTAACAGCAATATTTACAAAATATAGTGTATGTTTAAAGCAATTTTTTACTCTGCTGTGAGCTATAAATATTGATTCAGAATTTTTCTCTTCAAAGACTGCTATGGAGGAAAAGTTGGAAATAACAAAATTTTCCCTCCATATTATGTATACCATATTAATTTCATTGATATATGTATTGGAAGAATACACAAGGAAAAATTGATGCTACATAATTATATAAATTTGTTTGAACTTAATTTCACTACAATCAAAATCACATTGTTTCTTTGCTAGAGCCTTCAAAATTTATCCATAGTTTTAATTGAATTTGTTCAATTTTGCCTGCATCAATACAATTGTAGTTCTTTGCACTCTTATTGATATTAGACAAAAATTATATTAGAATTGGCTGCGCTGAAATTTGACGTAGCTTTCAATGCATTATGGCTTGAATCCTAAACCATTCAGAAGATGCTGAAACCTCAAGTCTTGATTTTTCTGATCAACTCTATGTCTTGAAATGGATTCTTAAGAAATGCATTTTATCAAGTTTTTCATTACATTCTAAAATTTCAGATGATACCACCGGGACAAAAGGCTTTCATGAGCACAGGTTTCTGTTCATCAGAATGCACAAAAGCTGCTTTACCAGCGAGAGGAATTCAACTTTTTGCTGGAACTTTACATTCACATCTTTTAGGTAATCTGTTATTTATTCGCATTCCCGTTCTTATTTCTATATTTCAGGTTTTTATAAATTGCTTTTCAGGCTCCAAACTCAGATTGAGGCAATTTAGGAACGGAACAGAACTACCTTGGATTCAGAACGATGAAAATTATGATTTCAACTACCAAGAAAACCGCCCTTACAGACGCACGAGGAGAGTTTTACGCGGAGATTTACTTATACTCGGTAAGAAACTTATGTTAACATGAAAATCATGAAGAATGTGCCAAAAGTTGAGACCACTGCCAGCAAAACCCAGTTCTTTGACATCATCATTCTCTTTTGATGCCAGGATAAATTTTGATGAAGAAAAAACCAAGATAAAAAAAGACGCACAGGAGAATCTAATTCAAGTATATATACTGTAGAAAAAATTCCCAATTTCGAATCGTGTCAAAATAGATTCACTATGAGTCATACGCTCATAACTCATACTGAAAAAATTAACATTCGAATTTTTTATAAGTTGACACTTGGGGAAATCCTGACGAGTTTCCGCTACAAATTTTTGCACAAAATGTACACGGAAAAAAATGGTGAAAAGTAGCAGAGAGAATCTTCCTGAAATTTTCTAACTTACTTCAGCTGAGTGCAGACTATACCTGGTAAAATATTAAAATAATGTGGATTTTTTATAAGTTTATTTTGAGACATTATTTCACTAGCTTGAAAATATTACAGCATATTATCAAAAAAACTTTGGATTTAGTCATGGAACATGTTTAGAAAACATTTGAAGAACCTTTCGAATGATGAAAGTTTAACCTTGGAATACACAATTAATCTTGAATTTTCTTCGAATTCTCCCCCCTAAGAATGCACATTGAACTCAACATCAAGAAACAAAACAACAGTTGGAGGATTGGGTACAGGTGAAGAAATGTGCATGGCTTATGTTTCTTACTACCCAAAGACAAATTTATCAGGATGCATGTCAGTGCTTGACCAACAAAAGGTTTCTACAATTCTTGGACTGGACATTCAAAACCAAGTTTCCCTCACATTGTGAGTCTTTCTTTTATTTTTCATGGGACTGAAAGATAAGAGAATGTATCAAAAGAGCAAACACCAGAAGAAAAAGTGCAGTATAAGAAGATCACTTATTGAAAGACTATAAAAAGCAATTAAAAGACTAGAAAGAGCAATTAAAAGACTAGAAAGAGCAATTAAAAGACTAGAAAGAGCAATTAAAAGACTAGAGAGAGCAATTAAAAGACTATAAAGAGCAATTAAAAGACTAGAAAGAGCAATTAAAAGACTATAAAGAGCAATTAAAAGACTAGAAAGAGCAATTAAAAGACTAGAAGGAGCATTAAAAGACTAGAAAGAGCAAATAAAAGACTAGAAAGATCAATTAAAATACTGGAAAGAGCAATTAAAAGACTATAAAGAGCAATTACAAGACTAGAAAGAACAATTAAAAGACTATAAAGAGCAATTAAAAGACTATAAAGAGCAATTAAAAGACTAGAAAGAGCAATTAAAAGACTAGAAGGAGCTTTAAAAGACTAGAAAGAGCAATTAAAAGACTATAAAGATCAATTAAAATACTAGAAAGAGCAATTAAAAGACTATAAAGAGCAATTACAAGACTAGAAAGAACAATTACAAGACTAGAAAGAACAATTAAAAGACTATAAAGAACAATTAAAAGACTAGAAAGAGCAATTAAAATACTAGAAAAAGCAATTAAAAGACTAGAAAGAGCAATTAAAAGACTAGAAAGAGCAATTGAAAGACTAAAAAGAGCAATGGTCAAAAGTGCAAGCCGCAATTATCACCAATAAAAGCGTAAAATAGCAAGTGCCAAATGACTAATGCTAAGAAATGCTAGTCTAAAAATTGAAATTACTATCAAAAAAGTGCCTTCACTTATGTACGGTACCACACTTGCCTTGTGTGTAATTTTTTGGCTCCTTCATGAACTTTCTCTTTGAGAACTTTCTCTTTCTAGATAATTTCTTTTCAGCTAGTTGCTTCTGAGTTTTGAGACTTTTGACACCTATTTCTCTGCTGTGTCAATACCCTTAGAAAAATAGCACACAGTATATTCATAAAGAAATGTTTTTCTCTTGCCATTGTCACAGATGGATGACAATTGGATTTGACACAGAAAAGGGGCCAAAGCCTTTCAATGAAGTCATTGACAAACGTTTTGCACCTTGGAATGCCACTTCTGTGCAATTATTTGCTGGAATTGCAAATGGAACTGCAGTTGATCACTATGGATTATGCATGGGTAACTCAAGACAGCCAATCAAGGCAAGTTTTTTTTTTCCTTAAATAAAAGCATAACACAAAACCCAGCAATATGAAATACTTTTCCCATAAATTCCTGAAGGCAGTATTCCAATTTTGGTAGGTGGGAGATTGAATTTTCAGTCTCACAAGTGCCTGATTTTAAAATTTCACTAGTTTGGTTTCATTTCAATATCAAAAATTTATATTTACAGACACTGTGCTTCTCATTAATTTACAGACTTTAAACACAAATTCATGAAATTGGCATTAATTTCATGAGACTCAAAAATAACAGTCCATTTTTCGGATTTCATGATCATTCTGATTTTTTTTCAAATAAAAATGGAAGTATAAATGTTACAATTATTTTTTCATTGGCATAAATATTTTCAAGAATGATTTTCCAAAGAGTAACTCAGAGTAAAATACAGTCACTTTCTGCGCGCGATTTTTAGCATTTTCTCTAGCTTTAAACTCCTTAATTTTTAATTTGAATGATTCATCTCTCACAATAAATTCCAAGCATTGAATGATCTTTCTCATTTCATAACTTTCAATTCATATTTTCGCAGGGGACAGAAGTTTCGGTGCCCGTAGGATACCCCAAGGTATCCAACATCTACATCCCACCAAAAACCGGAAACTGCTCTTCCGGTCTGTGATCCGCCTTCTTCCGGAAGGACACACAAAAAAATCAACATAAAGAAAAAAGAGAAGAAAAGACCGACCCCAGCAACCACTGGCTCATCATTCCGAATTATATATAAAAACCCGGGAATAAATTTCCTTCCATGTACTGCAACAGAAGACTCTAAATTATTTATGCACTCAGAAGCTTTGAAATTACCTTGAATGGGGAAGTGGAATTTGCATCAAGAACCGGGTTCATTGTCTAAACATATTCTATTTTTCCAACACAAAAATAAACGATCAGACTGAAGGTGATTCGCGTCAGTTGTTGGGACATCTTTGACCAGTTCAGAGGTTCCTTTTTTATAAACTATATGTTCTTTTTTTTCAAAATGACAAGAAAAGAAGACAACACGCCTTCGTAAGTAATCTTAATCAATTGGAGTGACCAGCGATAATTGCAAGTTTTTCCCCCAACTAGATGTAGAACTCCTTGGCTATTCTTCTCCTAACTATGATGAAGTTTTAAAAAAAAAGAATTGAGAAATGAGAAAAATTCAGAAGAGATCAAGTGAGCAGAAAATAAGATTTCATGGCATTAGAGCTGATTAACTTAAACCTCCTGAAATGAAAAATAATATCACAGTAATAATAAGCTCCTCAAGTCGAAGTTCTGACCAATTTCTGTCTAAAATCCCTGAAAAACAGCAATGTAATCAAGATCAGTGTTCCCCAATCTTTTTTTTTGACATGCGGACCAGCATATTTCCATTAAATTTTTGGTAAACCAGCAAACTCCCAAAATATTTTCCGTGGACCACCAATAAGGTTTTATAAATTTTTTCCAGAATGCAGACTTACAAAAGTTTAGCTTGGCAGACTTATGACAGGTAATTAAAAGTTCCTAATATTGGCATAAATTGAGTTCAGCATCAATAAAGCAATCATAGCTGAATTAAAAAAAATAGAATGGTGAGTTCGAAGAAAGCTTTTTTCTCAGAATGAAAAATTGAAATAATTTATTTCAGTAATACTGTATCTGTAAATTTGTCTGAATCAATATTGAGGGAAAAGCCAACTTTTATTTTTCATCAGAAACTTTCAAATACCATTGTCTTTCCAAAGTTTCTGATAAAGATAACAGACTTCATTGCCATTTTCAAACAATTCATTATGCTCAAAATTTCCTGCAGAACAGCAAAAAACTTCTGCAGATTGGCACCAGCAGTCTGTGGACCATGGGTTGGGGAACACTGATCCAGATCAAAACTTGAAGAATTTTCCCTCAAACCTCAATAATTATAATTTCACGAAGCCTTTTCACGCTGAACAGTATTAATCTGGGATTATATGGATGGAATTGGAAGAGCAATACGTTTATAATTGGATGCGTTCCTCAAAGAAACTGAGTAAATATTTCGTGTACATACTTGCATCAAATAATCATATGCAAATAGTCATAAATTAAAAAAAAACTCTTACCATATACAGGCCACCAACTTCGTCCTGGGTCCTTTGTGACTCCGCAGACGAAGAAGAAAACACAGATGACAAATGAACAGGAAACACAATAAAGCTTGAGCCTCAAGATCGGTTGCTTTTGCACCGAAAACAGGAGCACAAATAATACACAATGATTTGGCAGATAAATTCAGCACTCGTTTCACGTCCGCGTTTAGCCAACACAGTTGAAGCAGTGTGTGAATCTTCGGTGGTTTCGGTGGCTTGCGGATTTCAGATAACTGGTTCTCCAACCAGTTCCTGAAGTCCGTTATTCTTCCAAGGTCGTTCTGTTCGTCAGGTTTCTTGTGCTTGTTTTTTATTTTTTTAATCTGGTCAAAGTGAGCAACGTGTGCGGATTTCTAGTGGGCGACATCATTTATCGGCATACGAAAGGTCCC